CCCCCCTCCCCCACACACACAAACCCATACAAGTAGGTAAATCCAAGTTTGATCCCACCTACTGTAAAGTGGCACCTGCTCTACATGTATTGCACCGCTTGGTCCCCCTCCAAGCTGCTCCCCCTACACGTCTCAATGCTTAACCGTTCAAAATCTTCTCCCACTCTTCGGACACTACGGTATCCCGTGACTCCATGAGGGTTCAAGCTGTTTGATTTCTTAGTGGGATTGTACGATGAATCCTCTACCAACTGGTCACAAATAATTGCTATGAAGCGGTTGCTGATGAAGAACAACAATGGAGCATCTAGTAAATAACAAAGCCCACTTTTGAAGACTTGAAGTAACGGAATTCCAAATCCGTGACTCAAATAATTGAAAGGATTATACTCTCTCTGCTCTAAAACTCTTTCCCGCTTACTATTTACTATTCACATGGTCAACCTATAATCACTTTCTTTACCTATTTTCATTAGTCATTTGATAAAATATTATAGTCATGTCACTTCTTGTTTTGTAGAGTTGTATGTGTTGTTTTTAAATATATTTTTATTATTTAACTTTAAACCTAAAATAGATTAAATTGAATTGTAAATAACTTCAGTCAAACGTTGTAAACCAAAACGGGAATAATGTTTTAGGACGGAGGGAGTACCAATGGTGGGAAGTCCACCTGTTCCGATTCCTAAAAGTTGAGACACTCCAAGGCAGGGAGCTATCATTTTACACAAGCAATTTCAGTAGGTAAACCAAAATTTTCGGGCATACATACTCTGAAAAGTTGGCAGGAGGCAAAGCTAGTGGAACTTGCTCGTGTCTTGCTAAACATGGCTGGTTACAATCTAACAATTTTCTAATGATTGGTCATGTTCCATATTTTCAATTTTTCATGATGGTCTTGCGATATCAATCATGAAATGGACATGATAATATCAAATATCAGATATCAAATGTATCCAGTCATCACTGTCTCAATATACTTTTTTATGCATGTGGAAATAATCTTAATGATGATGGGCTTAGATTTTTCATCTCACTATTCATTATGAAAATTGCAAGGCATATAATCCAAAGTAAAACATTGCCAGTTTGCTCTTATTGCATGAATTTATAGAATTGAACTATTTTATACAACTATTTGGTACTGAAAGTTAATTTCACTAACCTCCACTAGCTGGGATTAAGGTGTTAATAATGCTGAAGAATGGACAATTCTGTTGCAAACTTGGAACATATTACCAAACCAGAATGTTCATGGGAGAGTATGGTAAGTGTAAAAATTCCTAATGGGATAGAGTGCCTATTAATATGGTTGGTCAAATAGATATGCACTCTTCAAACTGGTATGATGCTTATTGGCCTAGAAATATGTGATCTGATGTAAACTTTTATAGAATTTGGTGTTCTTTAGTATGATGTGGTCTGAATATTTCTGATTTGAATGTTTCGATTCTGATGTGATAAGATGTTTGTCATCTTGTCTAATTTTCTTGTTTGAAATGCAACATCTGGTCCGGTCTATTCTTGTCTATATGTTTGAAGTTGGTTCTGATCAAGTAATAAAAATTAAGAATATGTAATAAATAAAAAGATTAAGGTGATCAATACTGCACCTTAGGCCTTAGCAATATTCTTCATATACCAAATTACAAATGTAAGTTGTTATATTTGAGCAAGCTACTGCTAAAGCATGAAGTTATGTATGTTTAGCATTCTCTGTTCTCCATGCGTTACACACAAGGGTGTTGATTCAGATAGTAGATTACAATATGGCTTATAGTATTGGAGTTCTTTGGCCTCAAACAGTAATACTCCCGCCACACTAGCAAACTACAAACAAGCAAATAGGTCTGTAGCGGAGGCTTAGTTTGATCATCTAAACCTGAATATTCGGCAATGACAAGTATTGTCAGTGGCATCAGTGACTAGGTCAAGAGTGCATCACATAGTGTCCCCTACTATTCTTCAATGAGACAATTCAGTTCAAAATCCAGTTCTTGGGGAACTATGGGAAAGAACAATTGAAAAGAGATCGGAAAGATCAACAATATAAACTATCAGATATACACGCGGGCTGCAGCCTATTGAGCATTATCAAGAAAATCGGGACTTATCAATGGCAGTATAGTGTGCCTTCACCTATTGACTTGGAGGAAGCACATGCTCAAGATTCTAGAAAAGTTCTTTGAAGGGTGCTAGAGAAGGATGTATGAGTATCCTACATGGAAGTTAAAAAAATGTATGGAGGGCGAGGACAAGTATGTGGGCACCATGAACTAAATCTAGCATATTACTTCTTCCGATAGAGATCTATCAAGTTGAAGACTTGAAGTGCTTTGGTGTAAGTTTTTCGTTAAAAACACTGATCTCTTTGAGCAATAAAGGGCTCCGGTATGCCACATGAAATACAATCAAGTGCACTGATTTTGTATCAAGCAATACCCAACAGATAGCGGGGTCGCGGGGAGTTTATTTGTGCTCCAATATCCCCACCCACGATGTGTCTCTGTAATGAGGGAAGATCTGTTGTATATTTCGTAACCTAATATAGGTCATCATGGGTGCTAATTTACATGCTTTGACTAGGCCCCTGTAATTAAAAAAACAATGTTCTCTTAGAGGAATACAGGGAAGGATTAAACACAAAGCTTGATTTTTGGAGATCAAGAATGAAATCTAAAGGTTTAAATGTGAGTAGAGAAGCACTAGATTCATCAAGACTTATTCCAAGACAGTGTGTAAGATAAGACTGAGGATACAAGAAAAAGAGAGATTTCACACTTGAATTTTATGGTTGAACAAGATTGGGAACTCAATGCGGACGATAAGCATGCAATAGGAAACAAAGTGAAAGACAAGATTAGGAATGACGTGATAGATGATTAAGCAAGATTAATCAATAATTGAGGACGAGCTGATAAGATGGAGGGGGGATTTGAGATAGTTTGGCCACATTCATAGATGTCGGTGTGTTAGAATGCGCGAGTGTATAAGCCATATAAGAACACAACATTAGAGGGTAGACTCCGGTAGAGGAAGATATAACTTGACTTGGAAGGAGACCAATATAAGAGACCTAATGAAAATGGTACTTATGGAGGAGATGGTTCTTGACGACCTCACATACTGAGAGAAGGCTTGGATTGCTTTGGTATACCAAGCACGTGGATATGGAATGTAATTTTGTTAAGAAACAAGTTGTTAAAAAAGGAAAAAGTACTCTGCAAAATCACAACTCACAGCAAATGGACTTGCAGGAGATCATTTTTGGCTCTCGAACTAACCTTGAGGCTGTCTCTGGTTGAGCGGGAGGTATTGGAGCTAATCAACATTAGTTAGCACACGTGATGGGACTGTGGTGATATGGCAATTGAATTCACTGTTCTATTTGGATTTATGCTAATAAATTATTTCCAAGGATATTTTGACATTGATCCTCAATGTCATAATATGACACCAGGCACCTACCGTGCTCCGTTGGGCACAAAAGTGATTGCTACCCACCTAAGCCCCCCCCCCCCCTCTTCCATTTTTCCGTTTGGCAACGGTAAAATTGTAGCCAAGCGGCAAAATGGAAGGGGCTAGGAATTTTGGGGTTTAGATGGTAGTAACCACTTTTGGGCCCAACAGAGAACCGTAGGTGCCCCAAATATACCAATGTCATAATTTGATATTGGTGCTCAACATCAAAAGATCATTGCCGATAAATTATATTCCTATTCGTAATTATTATTTTTGCAAAATTTACATAGTATGTTTGATAGCAGTGGATCCCTCCTTTTCTATTGTTATTTGACCTTTGATGCACGAATATTTATAAGGAGGCAAGCAGTTAGAAAGTAATGCAATAAACACTACACATGTATCTTACTATCTTCTGCAATTTCATGTCGGAAACAAGGTTAACAGCTAAACCATCTGGACAATTCACCATACAGGCGAATAGCTGTATGTAATTTCACAAAAAAAAATTAGGGCATTTTGCACGTAATCGGAGAAAAATTCCAAAAAATCACCTTGCCACAAACTGGACAGTGATCACTTCTCTCCATCCATTCATATATGCAACCAAGATGGAAATGATGAGAGCACTTCAATATTATTTTGGGGTTTTCTTCAGTATATTCTGCAGATAGAAGATGCAAAATGTCAGATATTTTTATACTTATGTAAAGAGAGAAATTTGTTTTACCTCCTTTAAGTGAAATGACATCCCTTAGGGTCGCATACTACGACGGTATTAAGGAAAACTGTGTCCTTTTTTGAGATGGAAAGGGCTGAAAGAGTGGCTGAACAATGCTTCATCATTATACCTTCAAGGCATGTAGGGCATGCATCTTCATCTTCCTCGGAAGAAGAAGAAGAAGAATAAAGAGGGGAAAATCCAGTTGTTTTAGCAGTCGAGAGCTTAAGTGTTGTTTTAGAGTTGAACTCTTTTAATCCTTGCTCGCAAGAAGCATCCCATTTGTTTCCGGCACTCATAGAATCCTCATCATCCTCATCATCATCAATATCACTTCTTCGAAATGGCTCAGTCTCCTCGTGTGAGTGGCTTGACCCTTTTTCCCTTCTAGAAACTAGTCCATCCCGTTGTAAACGGAAATATCTAGGATCAGCATCATAAGGCAGTGGTCTTGGTGGAGAGCGATACATGTCAGACAGAGAGTTATCAAGTGACCCAGCAGAACTCAAAGACGCTGTCACTTGGGTAGATGAAGTAATGACCCGTTGCTCTCTATGAAATACTGATGTATACTGCACGATGCAGATAACAAAATTGCAAGTCATGCACTTTGGTAAAAATTGATTGCAGAGAGGATTGGAACAACTACTCTGTATGATCTTTTCTTATTAGGATATACAGGAACAGTTCAGAACACTAAAACATGGAAAGAAGCAGAGAAATAGAGAGATGGTTGACCAGATCATACCACATAAAAGAAATGCTGAAGAAGAAACCGCATGCACATACAGTTCCTGTATATTGAGCTGTTTGGAATAGCATGATCATCATAACCATCTCGCAAACAGCAGCACATAGCACCCATGATCCCCCCCTCAAATCAGACACAACCCTTCAAATCACTTCTTTTTACAGTACCATGTACAAGCAACAAAAGCCACACGTTCAAATGAAACTGATAGAGAACCCTATGCTCACAGAAGTTGTGGGATAGCTAACCAGCTACCACATTTCATTGAGAGCAAGACAGAATGGTTTTTTATTTCCTTATCAAGATCAATCATTGACAATAGCACCTGAAAATGTTTTTTTTTTTTTAAATCATGTTATATGAAACATATGTTTGAAACTGAATAACAAAGCAATGTTCTCTTCAGTTCCTCTACTCTGAAGCAAAGAAATAGAGAAGGAGACATATGTGCAAAAAAGATCAAGCGTTGAAACATCATAATTCTTATACCTACTAAGGCCCCTATCAGATTATCCAAATAAATCTAAATTCCTAATTTGAAATTCAAAACTTTACCTGGTGATGATATGAATCAACCTTGGAAACCCACTTGAGACCAAAAAAACGGCGAACTGAACACCGCTAGCTTGATTGCTAAACAACCGCCTGAACCGAGCAGATAAATACGGAAAATTTTTAGACAAATTAACGAAAACAACTCAAGAGGAGATGGTGGAGTGGTGGACTCTAGAGTCGTTGTTTGAGAGAAGACGGTGGACAGCGAATCTGCAGAGGTCGGATGCTCTGGGCCTCGATTTTTTCTTTTCTCTCTCAGAAATTCGTCCAAGATTGGAAATAAAGATGGTACCCAAAAGAGCTTTATCCCGCACCCGTGGCAGTGCCAGATCCGTCCATATGCCACGCCCTCCCTTTATGGAAAAAATTTATGGACGGATTATGGAAAAAATATGAAAAAATATGGAAAAAAGTGAAAAAAAGTGATGAAAACAATACTCCACGTCAAGTGAAAACATATGGAAAAAATATGAAAAAAAGTGATGAAAACAATGACTTGCCACTGTAAGACATGTCACTCCACTCACGTACCACTCGTTGATAGGACTGTTTTTTATTGGTTGAAATACTCCACGTCAGCGTGTGGCATTTCATTTTTGCCTCATCATTGTTCATGCTCTCACAATGCCTTGCCATGCCATACCATGTCTGCAAATTCCACTCAAATCATGGCATTCCATGATCATTCCACCTCACTTTTCATTCCATGTGCAAGGCATGACTCTCTCATTTTTTATTTTTTTTTTATTTTTAATATTTGTAATTTTTTTAAAAAAATATTTTTTAAAAGAAGTAAACATATTTTAATAATAAAATAGATTTTTAAAATATTTTTTTATAATTAAAAATCATTAAAAAGTGCAAAAATAGACAAAAACAACTACTCGCCACTGTACACAACTTCTTCCTTACTCCTCCTCATCTCTCATATCAAAAGGACTACTAAAATATTATTCACAATATAACTCATACGATTTTTGTATTATTAAATATTTATATAATACAAATATTTTTAAAAATTGACAAATTTGGTGGTGGAATAAAGGGAGGATTGCTCCAATTTTTCTCTTTCAAATCAGATTTTGTGGGTCCAATACACAACTTCACCATTTACGCTTCCTTATCTCTTAAATCAAAGGACTAAAATTTTATTTACTATGTGACTTAAATATTTTATTATTATCATTACATATTTATATCATTTACAATATTTTTAAGAAAAATAAAATGGTTTACTTCATGTTATTAAAGTTTCGACAATAAAATTGTTCATTAGTAAATATAAAAACATAAAAGTGTCGTCACCAAAATATCTAAAAACATAAAATTAAATCTATTCTTACATATGAATTTGCAAATTAAAATTATTAAATATGGTAAAATAATTCGAAAAGTTTTTAAATTCTTTTCTAAAAATTTAATTAAGGTAAATATTTAGAAAAGAAAGAAATAGTAGACGTTAAAAATGAAGAAGAGAAACTCGTCCGTCCACATGGCAGGATTTTGTTGGCCATCTTCTTCCACTTTTTCTTCTTCTCCGCGGATGAGTTCTTCTTCGTGGTTGTCTTGAAATCTGAGCCGGAGAAGGACTTCTCCATCTACTACTCCATCTAATGCGTCAAGTCCTCCTGGAGCACTCTTCTCCTCCGCCTTAGTCCTCCGTCCAGTGCAGGTGCTCTTAAGGTGCATGCCACCTAGACCCAATCACTAGTCTGAGACCCTATTCCAATTTCCAACCACAAAAGTCCACCCGTAAAATAGCGGGCTTGGACACGACATATTAGGAGACGGACTAAATTCAAGCTTTATAAATGGTAGCTCGTATAATTTATGCTCAGACTTGAGTTAGTTTTATGCTCAAGCCAACGAGTCGTTGTGAGCCGAATGAATAATAATATTTGTTATTGGTATAATTATAATAAAATAATAATAACATTATTAATATTAATATTGTTATTGTTTTTCTAATATATATATATATATATATATATACATATGTGTGTGTGTGTGTGTATATGTGTGTGTGTGTGTGTGTGCGCGCGCATGTGTGTGCATGCGTGCGTGTGTGTAGATGGGATGATTTGGTATCCTTAATATAATGTACTTTTTCCATCCACTTTATTTGTACTTTGTGTTGTGAGGTTCATAAAATTTATTTTTTTACCTTGATTGTACTAAGTGTCAATTAGATTTTAGAGCATTGTTGGTGTTTTACTCTCATTTCATCGAGATTTGTTGCCATCACTTTTAGATGGTGGTCACCCACCTCAATCTCCTCTAATCCCTTTCGACCTATTCCCCAGTTGTTTATCCTTCCACTTTGCCGCCTCTTTCTTGGTCGCTCTTACAGTCGAGACAAGCAGTTATCAAGTTAGAGAGAATCCACCTGGCAAAATGGAAGTTCTTTGATTTTGGGAAAGTATATATACATTAGACACACAAAAAATTGCACATTAGCTATTTTTATCTACTTGGATTATAGGGTTTCTTTAGAATTGGTATAGAGTCATATTTTGAAGGAAAATATGTGTGTAAATGATGTACCCTTCAGACCCAAGACTTCTGCAACTAAGTGTGGAAAGCATCATATTGGAAATAGTCAGACATATCTTAGGCAATATTCTTCATTTAATTAAGATTTATTGTTTATAATAGGTAGTACAATTCTCACCTTATTTTGTGCTTTACATTGTATAAAAACTTTCCATATAGAGGAGTCAACTCTTTACCTTATATATATGGAGAATCCTTTCTTGGATAAAACACATTCTTCCAGATTTATTTATTTATACGGAGCTTGCTTTTGACAGTAGTCTCTTCCATGAAATATTTTAGGAGAATTTTGATTGGAAGAGAAAGAAGCGACGAAAGATCTTTGATACCATGAATTTTTTATTTCTCACGATGTCAAATTTTTCGAAGATGTGTTTCCATATGTTAAAGCTTCTGAACCAACATCTTCACCCAAAAGTGATCCTCAACATCCGATTTTTTTCATCCACTCCCGGAGTCAATCCTAGACAAGTTTGAAAAATCTGTTCCATCTTCTGCTCAATCACCGGTAATCCAGGACAGTCCTCTGGCTCTGCCCTCTATGACGCAACCTCCTGCTATCATGGACGTTTGTCACTTGTACTGGTTTTTCTACTTCGCATCAATGTTTTGAAGCTGCTCTTGATAATGAATTTGAACATAGTGGTTACCTAAAGGCTCTTCATGATCCTCGCTGGTGTAAAGCAATGCGTTTTGAGATTGATACTCTTAAACAAAATGATACTTGGTGCATTGTTCCACGCCCACCACATAAGGATGTAATTGGATGTAAATGTGTGTTCGAAATCAAACGTATGGAAGACGGTTCTATTGAGTGTTATAAAGCTCAACTCGTTGTTCATGGAAATAATCAAGTTGAAGGGATTGATTATAATGAGACATTTGCATCGGTTGCCAAAATGGTTATTGTTCATGTTTTATTGGCCGATTTCATCGCTCGTGGTTGGGAAATTGATCAAATGGATGTTCATAATGCTTTTCTACATGAAGATTTGTCTGAAGAGGCTTATATGCGTCTTCCTCCAGGTTTTTATTCTTCATCCATTGGCAAAATTTGTTGCTAACAAAAATCTCTGTATCGACTCCGACAAACTCCTCGTAATTGGTTTGATAAGCTGAAGGTTTCTCATTGGGCTTATGGTTTTCTTCAATCCAAAGCTGACTACTCTCTTTTCACTTATTCTCGTGGTGATATTTGTATTCATGTCTTGGTCTCTCTGGATGGCCTCATTATTGCTATAAATAATCATGTTGCAAATCTTGCCTTCAAGACAAACTTGGGTTTTTGTTTTTATATGAAGGATCTTGGTCGCCTTAAATATTTTTTGGGATTGAGGTTGCCCGCGTGGGTGCTGGCTTGTTTCTTAGTCAGCACAAATATGTTCTTGATATTCTGACTCAAACCGGACTACTTGGCTCCAAACCTACCTCATTCCCCATGGAGCAAAATCATAAGCTCACACTATCTGATTCATCTCTTCTTATCGAGCTGGGGGCCTATCATCGTCTTATTGGATGGTTAGTCTATCTCAAGATTACGCATTCGACATTGTGCTATTTTGTCCATATTCTCTCTCAGTTCATGCAGCATTCACACCAGGATCATTGGGATGCAGCTCTTTGAGTTCTTCTCTACTTAAAACGCAATCCTAGACAGGATATTTTCCTATCTTCTGATTTTGATTTTCAGCTCTATGTTTATTGTGTTCTAACTAGGCCAGCTGTCCACTTACTCGTCTTTTGCTTACAGGATATTTTGTCCTTTTTGGTCGGTCTCTTATTTCATGGAAAGCCAAAAAGCAGAACACTGTTTCTTGTTCTTCAGCTGAGGCTGAATATCGTTCTGTGTCTCTTACTGCAATTGAACTAATTTTGTTAAAATCACTTCTTCGCTCTTTAGGCGTGCTTCATTCTTGGTCCATGTGACTTTTTGGGGATAATCAAGCTGCTCTTCATATCACGTCTAATCATGTCTTCCACGAACGCACTAAAAATACTGAGGTTGATTGTCACTACGTCCGAGACCTTGTTCTCTCCGGCTCAATTTCCATTCAGCATGTTCGGACTCATCTTCAGTTTCCCGACATTTTTTCCAAGGCTTTGGGGCAACGACAGTTCTTGTTTCTTCTTTCCAAGTTGGGCATTCGAAATCGTAATGTTATAACTTGGGGGGGGGGGGCTATTTGAAATAATCAGTTATATCTTAGGTAATATTCTTTATTTAATTAAGATTTTTTGTTTATAGTAGGTAGAATAATTCTCACCTTATTTTGTGTTTTGCCTTGTATAGAAGTTTTCCTTATTTTCACGTGGTTACCTTTTAGTAAGTCTACTAAATTTGTTCTTGGTATAGCTTCAAGCACTCGAGATATCATATTTATGATGTCTATGTTTTCTCAATCAATCCTTGTATGAACCAAGGATGGTTACCAACAAGGATATAGGTGTCATCTACCTCTTGTGATTGTAGGATGCACTTCTCTAATTTCGTTGCATTATATTTTTTACTAGGCATTATGGATGTCTTAAAAAATTATGTAGTGGTATTATTTGCTTTTCCAAAAGAAAAAACTTGTGACCTTTGATGGAATATCTACATACTAAGCACCCAATATCATCAGGTGTCCCGAAGGGAATTAATTTTAATATATTACCCGGATCAAAAGCTGTAAGGACATTTTAGTTATGGGTATGAACTATTTTATAAATTC